TAAATTATAAATCTGTTGATAAAATTTCAGCTCAATCGGATCATGAATCAACTTTCATTTAACTAGCTCTTCTTTTTTCTTTTTCTCTATTTTTCTAACTTTTTTTCCCTTTATTTTCTTTAGTTTTCGACACCATCTTGTTTTTCACATTAAAATAACTTTATTTCTTTTTATTAAGTAGATAGCACTCTGTATAAAAAAAAAAAAGACTAAGACTTATAGTTTTTGATTAATCTAAACTCAATTAGATAAGGCTGGACCTTTTTCTTAACAAAAACAATATGCCCTTTTATCTGTCGACTTGGTATTTTCATGGAAAGGGAACTGATGGGATGATTTCTTAGAGGTTTGACGAAGGTTTCGCAAACACGAACAGATTATATATGCTGCGGGACTTGATAATTACTGGAAGCTGCAGCATTCTTGTGCAATCCGAAGACTCCTGCATGTGGAACGCCTTCTCAGTTCTTATTTTAGGATAGCATTCATCGAAGACAGCAGCTTACAAAGCCCTGGTTGGCTTCTTGGAAAACCAGCTCGTTCAAAGTATCCAGTGATCAAAGTTTTTAGTGGAACAAATTACGTAACCCATATCCTTCGTTCTTTCTTTTTTCTTTAATCCTTTCAGTCGCTGAATAACCCATCCCCACACCATAGCTTTGACCTAGATTTATTCGCGCTAGTTGGATTGGACCAGGTCATGAGGAAGGAAAATAGAGTTTTTTTTTTTTTTTTGTGCTATATGCTTTTCTCTATTTCTAATTAATTTTTGCTTGTCAAAAATCTTTTTCAATTGACAGAGAAAGAAATTAGACCCACAAAACCAAATTACACACAAGGCATAGCATTCCTACTCAAGGAACCTGAAAAAGCAGAAACCACCCTGGTAGGTTCTTCGCTTCTTTTGCCGCCTGATCCGGATATATTCAGATCCACATATATCGTGCTTTGGTATTTCTTTTCTTTTCTTTTCTTTTCTTTTCTTTTTATCCATTTATCCAAAAAAAAATTTTCGATGTCATCCTTTTCTACACCATAGTTATCGTTCCTAAGTTGATACAGCCACAAGTCAATTGAATTAATGTCAACCTAGCTCAATCAGGGATGAGAATAATATCAACTCACAACCATAAAAGGAATATTGCTTAGATACGCGCAAGACGCTGGCATTAAATGGCTTCACTGAGGATGCTTGAAAGTGTAAAACAGAATGGATGAAGAAAGACGGAAAGGAAAGGACTCATTCCTTCTTCCAATGGGATAATATGCTCCTTCTCGGAAGAAAATTTTCCTGTGTCGGCCCTTCCGAGCATGATCGGCAAAGGAGTGATTTAGAAAGGACATATCCTTCCTTAGCATATATGCCAAAAATAGTCAATTCAAAACTTTATTTATTGGCCCAGGATCCTCCCCTGAATAGTGACTCCTATTTTTATAGGCTAAGCCATATAAATGAATCTCGTACCAATAAGCACTAGCATCTATCATTTACATAGAATCATGAACAGGACTACTAGCAATTCCTGAAATTAATAAGTATGCCCAAATGCCATCTTGATCTTCATAACAAAATTGCCTACAGCAGAATGTCCAAACGGTTTGTGTTGACAGCCCGTAACTTTCCCATTAAATACATCCTACCTAAGAAAACAACACCTATGGATTAGCTTTTACAATTTGAATATTAGATGTGTAAATCATAAAGCTGCTGTATTCAATCATCCATCCAACTAACTAAAAACTGAAACTTGGACTTAATTTGATCCAAGTTATTCCAAAGCAGTGCAGTTAAGAAAAATAATGTGCTATCATAAGAAAAATATCAGTAACAAGAACTCTTCATTTTATAACATCTGTTGTATGATTAGATTTGCTATATACAGAACGAAGAAAACACTACAAGATTACAATTCACCTTGAGACCAGAATACCATTCAGATTAATACAGGCAAACTATCCTTAATTCACAAATACAAGATGAAAATTTGCGCTAAATAATTATAACAAACACCTAGTACCAGACTGCAAATCATTTTAGACTACCATTCACTCAACACACACACACACCCAAAAATAAAAATAAAAAAAAAGAATCCTTGAACTTGCACTATCAGCGGCTGACCTTTACTTCCTGCCACCAGATGATCCAGTGCCTCCCTCAAACAACTCATTAATCCTAACCTCAATATCCTCTGGGCCATACCTAATAAGCCTGTCAGCATTCCTCCCAATTTCAGGAATACATTGGAGCCTGCCAATGAAGCTTCTATAGGCTGGTGACAAAAGTCTAGACACTGAAATCCTCAACTCTTCTCTCAGCTGCTCATCGAATAAAACCCATGTAGACTGAGTTCTACATACCTCCTCAAATTGTGAATTGAATGAGTTGATCTTCTCTTTCAAAGACTTGGCAATGGCATTCGAATCCAAGGATGAATTGTCAAGCTTTAGTGTTCCCAAAATCTTATTCCATGAACTTCTTTGATAATTCGTACAATATTGCCTGACTTTTGCAGTGTGTTTTCGGATCCAATCATCACCCAAAAGTGACCCCAACTCACTATCCTTCATTTTTGTACAATATATCTTCCATTATTCATCATAAAAACAGAGCACAAAGCAGCGTCTCTATAAATCTTGGACTTCACCTCCAAATTACTCACCAAAAGCTCCATAATCCATGCCATCTGAACCAACACAGAAGACGTAGATGACCCTCTATCATCAAGCTTATTAGATGGAATAAACACATTACTTTCGTTGAAAACTTGTTCTAATGTCTGTCGTGAACGACACGCCGCACGGAGATAATTCATTACATAGCGTGTGATTGGATGAAGTCCGCCACCAGGAACAGCCGCTTTAGCTGGGTCCCGCCGAATCAAATTCTCTAATTCCATGAATATCCCTCTAATTGCTTCTCCTAATCTCTTCCAAATGATAAGCGCTTCGTTTCTAAGAACCAAACAGTACTGATCCGAAAAAACAGAATCAAATTCAGGCATCAGGTCTCTTAAAGTCTCGAACACGTCGAGAACTTTGAAAAGTCTCTCAGGTGACCGGCTTCCAATAGCTATGGCGTCAGCGAAATTAAGTAACTGAATGGTGGAGCCACGGCAGACTTCCATGAAGGAAAGATCAGCAGCGGTGGAGAATCCAAAAAAGACGCGATCACATAACCGGCGTTCGCTCGGGAAGAGGATGCGAAGGGCGACGTTTGCGGCTTTGATCCAGCGTTCAATCTCATCTTGGACCTCTTGCCATGGCATTTTTTGGATTTCGTCTATGCTCAGCTTTTGTAACCCTAGCCTGGAGATGCTCTCTTCGAGGAACTCTCTTCGGCACGTGCTGTAAACATGAGAGCATTCTTTTCCAAACCCTACGGCTACCATGCGCTTGGCGATCTCGTAAAGGTCGTTTATAGTTCCCGACGGAAGCGCGTCGATTACGATGTCGTAGTCTGTTATCGGTTGAGCTATGGGGATCCGGTGATCCAGATCCGCACCGTTTTGAAGAAATCCTTCTTCGTTTTCTTCACTTTCGTCCTCCGAATCGAATGATAAGTTCCCTGTTGACTTATGGTTGTCTCCACTCAGTTCAAACGACTCAGCACCTCGCTCCATCAGAGACCTGAACTCATCCTCGACGCGGAACATGGCCTGTTGCATCAAGTCGTCGGCGCGCACAAGACAAGCGCCGACGGATTTCTCAGGGGCCATGGGGCTCCAGTCCCTGATCGTCCCAATCAACTGGTCGATAGCGTCAAGGAAAGCAGAAGAATCAGCTATGTCAGCCCAGATGGGATGATCAACTGCCACGAATTGGGAGATCTGACGGTCCAAGGAATTGAGGGTTCGCTGGAGCATGGCGCATCCACAGGGATCCTCGTCGAGCATTTTTTCAGACAACTTCTCGCGAGAAAATCTGCCGTCGAAGTTTGAAAAGAAGTGCAAAATATCGTCCGCCATGGTGTCGTTTTGGCCAAACGTCTTGGCTATGTGCCTCGCCACCGCTAACAGCTTCTCTTCGCCGTTCTCAACCATCGTTCGGAACAGTAATACCCTTCTTCTTCTTTCTTTCTTCTTCTTCTTCTTCTTCTTCTCTCTAACTCTGCCTGCTTCTAGTTTAGCTCAATGAAAACGCTATCATGAGCGGCGTTGTTCTCTTCTTTGAATATAATTTAATAAGTAAGGGTTTTTAGAAGTTTGAGGGAAAGAGGAGAGGAGAAGAAGGGAGTTTGGCTTTTGAGAGGGAATGGAGGGAAAGTGAAAGTGATAGGACGGGGAAACGTAACTTGAGAGACGCAGAGCAGATAAAACGAGAGATGAACGGGAAAAAAGAGGCGAGAGATTGGTAGTTCTGGTAAATATATGGGAAGATAAATGGGGTTTTGAAGGTGGTGGGATAATATATCTTTGGAGTTTAGTTTGGATTTGGAAAAGAGAGTCTACTGTTGTCTTTCCACCAAATGAACTGTTGTTGGATCATAAGTGTTGTCTAACTCTCACTCTAAAGACAAGAACCAATTAAAGAAGTATAGGTTCTTAGTTAGTTAGCTAAGTTCATACTAATTACCATAATAATAATAATAATAATGAGTTTAGTTGAGTTGACGATAATGCCTCGGAGGAGTTGACAAATACCCACCGTTTAGAAACGTGTGGTCGCCTAGTTGTTTCGAAGATTGTCCAAAATTTAGTTTGGACAAAAACTTTTAGTTCCAACGGGCCTCGCTGTTAATATAGTTCCCCACTTGCCGATCTTTTGACCTGCGTAATTACTCTTTGCAATTTGAATTTTAGGAAAAAAAGAAAAAAGCCATAATCAGAATGTTTAAGTTGATTCGTAAAACTTCAATACCTTTGTGATTCAGACAAAAGGAATTTCTAAATTCCGTTACACCAAAAGGCATACAGTGGTTTCTTCTAAACCCCTAATTAATTAAGACATGAAAGAACGTTCATTTTTAAGGAAGCTTAGCTATAATAATGTGAAATAAAGAAAGAAGGTAATCCCATCATCTTCCCAATCGCACCCATGTTAAATCTGGAATTATGATCACACGCCAGTATATCAAACAATTTACATCATCAAATGTAACAAATTAAAGTGGGAAAATATTATACTCTAAAAAGCAAAGGAAAAACAAAACTAACCAAAGTACTCCATTTTTCTTCATTATTACCAATGTAAAATCTATCTCCTAATAGGGACAATAACCAACAATATAAAAAGAAAAAGAGACAGTGAAGGCTGAGGATTTGAATATACATCCAAACATTTAAAAGCTATATTTTGCGTATCCACTTGTCTCCTCTGCAACCTTTGCCCACACATTTGAAATTTTCTCAAAATAACCCACCTGTTATATTTTCACAAGAAATGTGAGCTAAGAAACAAATGATGTTAAATGCATATATAATTAAGATGTTGACAGATTCAACTGCATTCTTTCTCTGCATTGTCTAAATCGGAGCTTGCTTTTTTTTTTTTTTTTTTCAAATTCATAAGAACACGATCCAGTACGTAGCAATATTTTGATAGCAGAAATTGAATAACCCACTATAGACAAGCAAGCAGCCTTAACACACAGGAATCTTTCGCCTTTTGCCAATTACCATGCACATGCCTTTTTTTAGGGGGGAAAGGAAAAGTGCTCAATTGATATTAAAAGGACGGGGAAGTAGGTTTCATACATTAGTAAAATCTTTTATGGCCATATCCCACAGGAAAGTAGAAAGAGGGAAAATTAAAATGGTTCACATCGCAGTTTGAGAACAAAATCAAACACAATCCACAAGGACCTCTTGTAAGATGGGGAACGAAGAAAGTCTCATTATCACTAGGTGACTATAAAGAGACGTGGGACCATCTTTTACTGGAGATCTTGAAACTGACAAAAAATACATATAAAAGCAAATCAACAAAATTGGTTTATAATGCAAAGACAATAGCTATCAGGCTTGATTAGATAAAGCTCAGTGATTAATGAAGCTCCAAGTTCAATGAGTAACGAAGCCTTCAACAAAGATAACACAAGTTTTACCAAATCAATTTCAGGTACAGGACACTGCATTTTCAATCAGACAAGTTTAAGAATGGATAGACTCCACCACTGAACCTCAAACCATGTTAATTGAGCTTCATTCATACAATAAGATCATCAATATAGACAGCAAAACAAAGATCAAATTACCTGATTTACAACAAACCCCTTCATCATGTTCAAGAAGTCAGCACATCTTTCATTGTCAAGCCTTTCAAGTTCGCACCTGTTGTTTTCCTGTAATTGCATCATCATGAACCAACTTACACAATGATGAAGTTAACAATAACAATGCAGACAATGTACTTGCAAATAAAATACACAAATCAAACCATAGCAATACCTAAAAGATCCACAATAAAAGGACCCAACAATGTACATTTGTTTGATGAAGCAGACACAGCTCACAGCCACATGAGCATCTTTGTAAAGCAAATTAACTGGGTGCAGCGGTGCACTCCTCTTTTCTTTTAATTTACCACATGAAGCAGAAGAGAGAAAGAGAGAGAGTACTGGCAGTAAGGGACAATATAATTTACTAAAACCATTATTTTCCTTTAAATTAATCCTATCACATCCTGTCTTAGTAGCTTTACTTCAGATTTAACAAAGGCTGTGACCTAAGAGCTATTTAAAAAGAAGAAATGCTTATTATTATAGCAACACATAACACTGAAATATCAATAAGGGTCAACTGAAAAGTATAAGAAGAACAACAGGAAACTGAAATAGTCAAAACAGTGGGACAACCACATATGACATGACCGAACAAGAGCTACTGTCTAATAATAGCTGAATGGTCGAATAAGTTCACTAAACTAGTTATATAACTCAATCTGTTTGGTTAGAAGCCTTTGTTCATATAGGGGAAACTCAACTAATTAGGAGTGGACTATCTTTATCACATACAACTTCTTGGATCTCTAGCATTGAGCAAATCGTCTATGTGATACAAACATGCAATGAACATACAAAGGATATATATTAACAATAATAGCATGAGCACAAGAAAATTTCAACATATCAACAACAAAGGGGAGAAAATTATCCTCAAATTCGGATAAACGGAAAGGATATTATGAAAATTACTCACCTTGATCCGCTCATATTCTCTTATGGCAACATTTTTAGCATCTTCAGTAACCCTTATAGTATCTTTTAACTCCTCTATCTTCCGAATCCTTGATTTGTCGCCACCAAATATTTTTGATGATGCAGCTTCAAGTTTTTCAGCCCTTGAATGCAATGTAGATAGTTCTGATAGGAGAGTTTGCACCGTCAACAAAGCACTTGATCGGTCCGAAAATGCACCATGCACAGCTAACATAAGCCCAAGATATTCATGAAGTGTATCCTGAAGTGCACAAAAAACAAAATACATTATAAATAAATGCAAACTTCCCTTTACAAATATAGAAACTTCAAATGAAATTGTAATCACCAGCATAATTGCTCAAATTTTGATTAATGCAGGTACAAACAACAATAATTAGCTTCTCAGGCAATCCATAAGCCAGCCATTCCACATAGCTTCAGACCTTTTAAAGTTGTTGATTGCCAAACTTAATGATTACTAGAGATTTCACACATTGCAAACTCTTATTCTTGTTCAAAATAAATTGCTCCAACAAATGAATACTTGTGAACATCTCAATCCCACGTTTTAAGTTGAAAGAATAAAATGAGGTATCGAATTTTGCACATTACCAAATGCTTGACAGTCTGCGAGTTCAGTTCTCGATAAAATCTGCTAGCTTTGACTGCGGCAGTTGCTAAACACTTCATGTCAGCAGCCCGTACTCTTTGAGAATTGAACATAGCCTCCTCATTCTCAAACTTAGTCAGCTTAATAAATGCCAATCCTAATTCTCCCATTGTCTCTCCCATATCTTGCTGTGCTTTAACAAGTGCCTCAGCCTAAAAGAAAATTAACAACATCCCAAACAAAACCCATCATCAAAAACTTTATCCCACAAGATTCAAATGTACATGTCAAAGTCAGAAAACCCAATAAAATTACCTGCTGAGAAGCATTGCTGAGTTGCTGCTCAAGATCATGAATCCATTCTTTTTTCTCCATAAACACCTTATCCTCCTCTACTACAGGCGGTTTCGAACCACCCCAATCATTTGCTACAGACTGTCTCAATTCCTTAAACAACCGCAACAAATCCGTCCCGCCTTTTGCAGGCAGCAGCACCTCGTGTGGCTCCACCACTGCAGTACTTTCCCCAAACAACTGCTTCGGTAACTTCACAGCACCATCAAGCATCCGTGAAGCCACATCAGTGCTCGTCGGCAATGGAAGCCTCCCTTCCACTTGCAAAAACACCTTCAATTCATCGCTTAGTCTAATCACCGGATGCTCCACCAGCCTCTGCAAATATTTCTCCAATGCAATCCTCCTTTGCTCCATGAATTCTTGCTTCTGCATCACTTGAGATTCCACCACATTTTTATCTGGCCTCGGCGGAATAAAATATCCACGGTAAGCTTCCGCTAACCGATCCGATAACGTGACTACATCCCTAAACCTTCTCCTAACACTAAATTCAGAGGAGCCGAATTCTGGACTATTCGTTCTCGTCGTAATTAAATAAGTGTAATATGTATTACCTCCTGGCACGAGTGAATTGGTGGTGTCTTGCTCCTTTTGGGGGTTGGAAACCGTAATTTTGATATAATATGTGCTGGACGATGGCGATCTGGAGAGAGCCAATGACGATTCTGGGTTCTGAGAAGTCGATTCGAGGCCGTTGAATGAGTTCTCATCGAAAGGACTGAAGATGACATCAGCGTAGGAAGGAGGCTCGATGTAGGAGTTGTTATCAGGTGCGTTAGGGTTAAGATAGAGTGGAGGGGAGAGCAAGGGATCGGAGTCGGCTGGAGTCGCGAGGATCGGCAGAGACATTGGGTGGTGCGTCGTATTGGAGAGTGATGAGATGGCGCTTCGATAACTCGAGTAGGAGTTACTGTTCTGGTGGTCGTTGAGGTTGCTAAGAGGCTCGTCGAGAACGAGATTTTCCATTTCTTCACGGGAAGCGAAAAGGTGGGCTTCTTGGAAGCCCTGGTTCTCAGAGCCCATCATCTTCCGATTTGAATAAAATCTTTCTCAAGACAACAAGAAACAAAAAAGAATTAAATGAATTCGAATCTGCTTACCGAGGAGAAAGCATTAGGGTTGTCGATATTTTCGACAGGGGAGGGAAGTGTTGGTGTGCGCTGTGAGGGAGAAGAAGATCGAGGGAAGGGTTGCATGTAGCTTGTGCGCCGGGGCATGGAATGGAGAAAACGTGAAAAAGCTGTGGACAAACAGAAACGATGGGAAACGAAAACCGGATTCTCATTTTTGATTTTTTATGTTCTTCGGGGCCTGTTTTCGGGTTTGCAATGGATATGGATATGGGTTTCTTCCAACCGGACTTAGGAATGTTGGTTGGATCTGTTTGCAGTGATACGGTGCGTTCAAGATCATTAATATGGGTTTTTTCTTAATCTTTTATTGTTATTATTGTTGTTGTAGCTTGTTTATGCTTTGCTTGATTTGGCTGGCTTAACAAAGTCAAGGGATAGCTGCCTTGGCTTCACAAATAGAATGCCCTATTTGCTTGATCTGTCTGTGTTTTTGGCTTATGAAGGGCCGTACAGCTTAAATATTTGCTTTTTAAACATTGATAGTCACGTTGGTGGCTACTCCGATTACGACAGGCTTAACGCTTGAAAATACATTTAAATGTTCGAATCAACAAAAGTATGTAAAAAATGATGAAATGAGAAGGAGAATATGTACAGTATAATATTTATCCTATGTAATTTTAATTTTTATATTTTATAAGTGATGTCATGATCTAATATATTATAAAATATTTTTTATAATTTTAATTATAAAATGTTTTAAGTTATTAAAATTATAAAAAAATACTTTATAATTTATTCGATCATGGCATCACTTATAAAATATAAAAGTTAAAATTACATAGGATAAGTATTGCATGAAAATGTTTTCCTTCTCATTGCATCATTTTTCACGTACTTTTGTTGATTCAAACATTTAAATGCATTTTGAATTACTATTTTTGGCATCTCCTTTTTTTAAAACAATTACATCCCTTGTTTTACTTAATTTTCAGCAAGCTTCTTTATATAAAAAATTTCACTAAAATTTTTTAAATGTGAAATAATTAACTTAATAATTTGAATAAAAATTACAGAATTTTGAAAAAAAAAAACTATAGTATGACTTAACTTTTTTTTTTATTTTTTTATAACAAAATAAAACAATTTATTTTTAAGTGAATAATAACGTTGAGGTTTTTTAAATTTTAGAATGAATCTTTATATAAGTTATTGAACGATTTTTAATTGAATGTAATGTAGTGGTATTTTTTAATGAACAAATCCTTTAATGAAAAGATTAAAAATTTTTAAATGATGTTAAAGGATGGTTCGATCTTAGAAGGATAAAATTAACTTTAAGTACTTATTTATTATTGATTTTTTTCAAAAGAGTTAATTATATATTTTATGTCTAAATTTAAAAAATATATAAGTTGATATTTAAAAAAATAAATGTATAATTTACACTATAAATTTTCAAGTAATATATAATTTGCATTATAAATTTTCAAATTATATATTATATTAACTCAAATTTTAATCTTACTAATTATATTAGTTTATATATATATATGATATTTGATAAATATTATCAAATTATGTATTTACTAAATATATTATCAACATTTTTTTTCAAATTAAATTAAATATATATTTTTAATTTATCTAAATCATAAAAAATTTCTAGGACCGATCAAATTTTTTTATCATGTAACATCCATATAAAACTTTTTATAAAATATTTAATACTTTTATTAATAAAATAATATACATATAATAAAATTATATTAATTAAATATCATATATACAAGTTAAATTAGTAATATTATAATTTAGATGAAAATGATATATTATTTAAAAGTTTAAGGTGAAAAATATATTTTTTATTTTTAAATAATAATTTATATTTTTTTTAAAATAAAAATAATTAAATATTTTAAAAAATACTTAAGTAATTAATATAGAAAGAAAAAAGTCAAAAAAGAGGTAAAAGTGAAACTCCGTTGGGTGGGTCTAACGCCTAAACGGCTAAAAGAAACGCAAAGGGCGGAGTCCAAACTCCCAAACGCAAGTCTTAGATCCAAAGGCAGGTGATCTGGTAAAACCCAACATCTAAATTAAACCTGCATCCAACCACTCTGATTAGGTTTCCCACATTTCACTTCAATTTCATTCCTTCTATGCTGACAACAAAGCCAGGAACAGAGTGAGAGATAGAGGTAACGAATCTTTGACTCCAATCCGAAGACTCAAACTCCATAATTAAACCACAAAATGGCTTCCAAGTTTGGCTTAGCTGGTGGAATTCCGGAGCGGCGGGTCCGACCAATTTGGGACGCCATCGATTCTCGACAGTTCAAAAATGCTCTTAAGATCACTACCGCTCTACTTTCTAAACATTCCCATTCTCCTTATGTTCTTGTTAGTAGTCATTCGATTTTAAGTTTTTCTTTTAGATAACTAGTCTTAAATTATTTATGTTATTTTGTATTTTGATTATTTGCAGGCTCTCAAGGCTTTGATATTGGAAAGGATGGGAAAATCCGACGAAGCACTATCGGTTTGTTTAAATGCGAAAGAAATTTTATACAAGAATGAGACTCTGTTAATGGATGATCTCACTCTTAGCACGCTTCAAATTGTTTTCCAGCTACTCGATCACCGTTAGTTTTTTCTTTTTGGCTAAACTGATTGTCGCTTCAGTTTTGTCTATAGTCGATAGGTATCTTGTTCTATGAGTTTTTTCTTTGTTAATTGTCAGTGGAGTTGGCTACTTGCTGTTACGAACATGCTTGTGGGAAATTCCCAAACAATTTGGAACTAATGATGGGGCTCTTCAACTGTTATGTTCGAGAGTATTCGTTTGTCAAGCCGCAACAGGTTAGTGTTTTCTGATCCTTTATTTTGTTTTTAAATTACAGGAATTTTATGGGCATTTATTTTTATGCGGACTAACTCCATAATTATTGTAACTTATTCTGGCTTTTATTTTCTTCCAGACAGCCATCAAAATGTATAAGCTTGCTGGTGAAGAAAGGTTTTTGCTCTGGGCAGTTTGCAGCATCCAGTTGCAGGTTCTGCCAGTTTTCCTTGCTGCTTATTTGTAAATTTGTTTATCATGTCATTGATTGGTAGTGGTCATAAAAAAATCGATTTGATGCTAGAGTGGTCTTCATAAATAGAATGGAAAAGTTGTAACAAGCTGGCAGTTTGGAACTAACAAGTTACAGTGGAAGATAACTGTTTCCAATTTATGGAATTGAATGCAACTACCTTCTCTTCTTGGTTGATCCTGGCTGAAGCTTTTCAGCGTTTCTGCTAAGCATGGCCATGACTAACATGTAAAAAAAAATATATACTGAAAATAATCTAATAAATTCAAATGTTTTAAATAAAGCATATTTTTCTAATAAAACTATCTTGAAAGAAAATATTTTATATGCAGTTGGGTTGCTCCAAAAACTTGCTGTCTCCAAACCCAAGATCGAATCTGTTGATTGTTGCAGCGGCTCAACAGTCCAGTCTTGTTTAAGGTTTGAAAAATGTCAAAGTCCTTTCTGTAAAGGGGATGCTAAGAACATTGTCATTGTAGGGAAATGAGATTTACCTCTTGAGATTCCAGTTGTTACAAAATATATAGTGTTGGTCTAGGGTTTTGAGACATATAAAATTTGTACTGAAAGTGCTAAGGTGGTCTTGAGCTTCAAAAAGTAGCTGGCTTTTTTTTTTCACAAAAGTTTTACAAAAATTGTATTTCTTCAGTTCCCTTTGATAAGTTTGTCTAGGTGCACTATAAAAACGATCTGTGCTTTGACTGTGCCACTTGTTTGTAGAACAATATAAGACTATTGATTAACGTTTCTTCTAAAGAGATCTATAGTTTATAACATGTTACAATAGCAAGAAATGTGCATAGGAGATAGATGTTGAATACTCTTGCCCTTTCTCCTTTATGTATTAATTCATAGTATTTAGTATTGCCAGAAGGGTTGGTGTTGTTGGCATAATTAAAGGTTTTCATGGAACTAATTGCATTTAATGCAGACATAAATTGGTTTATCCTGTTTTAAGAGTGACTTTATAGTCTACTTGATGGTCTCATGGAATTTTATACTGGAATGCTCTCTACAAGAGTGATGTAGATGTTTCTTTCATCATTTTCAAGGAGAATAACTAATTTCTTATAATGTAGAAATGAGTGGTGCAAGAAGATTCAAAAGTACGACCTAACATGATTCCCCTTTTTAGCTTTCATACAGCCAACCCCAGAGTTATGGGATATAAGGCTTAATTTGTTGTTGTCGTTGTAAAAAATGTCTTCTTTAACCGCTTACTTTGTGGGGTCTGAACTTCAGGTACTTTGTGGCAGTGGTGGAGAGAAGCTGTTACTCTTAGCTGAGGGTTTACTTAAGAAGCACATTGCTTCCCACAATTTGCACGAGCCAGAAGGTATATTTCTGTTTCCATCTCTTTTCCTTTGCAGGCCACCTGGAGAGCAGCTCTTGTGTTCTCATTTACATATGATATCCAATCCTACATCTGCGCAGCTCTTGTCATCTACTTTTCAATATTGGAGCAACAAGCAAAATATGATGATGCTTTGGAAATTCTCTCTGGGAAATTAGGATCCCTTCTGATGATTGAAGTTGATAAGCTACAAATACAGGTACTTTCTGAAGCTTATATTTCCTACTCGTTAATAGTATATAAATGTTGATATTGGAAATATCTTGTGCACATGCACGTTACTTATTCAAATTGCATGTTCATATATCCTGGACTTGGATGGAAATACCTGGAATTCATCATTAAAATTCATTGTGATATGTAAGATTACACATTGTTTTCACAGGGAGTTGTTCTTCCACTTTTCATTTCTTATCAAAGTATGTTCTTTGACTTTAAGTTGACAGGGGAAGCTTCTTGCTCGGGCAGGTGACTATGCCAGATGTCTACCAGAAAATTTTAGAACTGTGGTATGCTTGTGGACGTTACAGAAATTTATAGCAAAACTTTGCTTCAGCAACTATGGCAACTTACTAGCGCGCACTTAGGTTCTGAGTTGAATTATTTACTCCTGAACATACCATCTCTAACAGTCTGGTCTTTCTTTCCTTTTGTTGTTAACTGACAGTGCAGATGATTGGGAGGCTTTCGTACATTATCTAGGCTGTTTATTTGAGGATGACAGCAGTTGGTCCAGTGAAATCATCAATGCTCCAATTCATCCCCCAAAATTTGTGGAATGCAAGCTTAGACACTTAACAGATGAATTGGTATATTATTATAACTTTCGAATATTACTCACTAGATTTTATAATTGTTAGTTCCCATCTATTGCTTTGCAAAAACATTTTACTGAAAATTCAATCTGGTCAATCCACAGTTTGATTCTCATGTATCAAATGCATCAGCATCTGTACAAAAGTTACAAGCAGAAGCTAGTAATAATTCTTTAAGAAATCCATACTTGGCTCATCTTGAAATTGAACGGAGGAAATGCCTATTTGGAAAGAACAACAATGATGATCTTATAGAAGCTCTTTTGCAATATTATTCAAGGTATGCCTTGACCTTCGATTATTCCTCTAAAGTTTTTTACTGAATTATCA